GGGGGGGGGGCTAGGATAAGTGAATATAAGGACTAAATAGCGTAAATCCTTCGTCGGTTGAATTGAATAAGTATCGTGCATTTTGAGAGGGAGGGGAGCGGTGAAGAACGGAAAGGATGAGGAAGCGTGCTTCTGGTTTTTACCGCAGATACCTGAGGTAGGGGAAATTTGTTTGAACAGTGATGTATGAATAAAAGCAAAAAAAAACTGAGGTTTTGCTAGCGGAAACTGATCAATAAAAACCCTTCATCACTAGGGGACTTCTCTTTTTATGAAAGTGATGCTTAATCATTAAAGTTCCCTGTTTATGAAACTGATGCTTAGGTAAAGCTGAGAGTTAATAATTTCCATGAAGTGAGCAAGAGCAAGGTAGACTGGATGCGTGGAGATGAAGTCAGCCTTCACTACTGTGAGATTTCGAAGGGAAAAAATAGAGGTATAACTGTTATGTATAGTTGCAGGCTGCGAGAAGCAACACTGTGGAATTGTCTGCAATTTTTGTGTAAATCCAATCGAACTTATTTGCCCGCAGCTTCATCTAAGCGTAAACCTCATAAATGCGGGGACAGCTTACTGAAGACGGGTTTTTGTAAGACAAATCCTACTCGCTTAAGCTCAGCTTTTGCTTTATATGCGTTTTTTGCAGCGATACAACGCGAAACGCATATTGACGAGGGTTGTCTGTGTGTCCGTGTGTTGCTGTGTCTGTGTGTGCGTCTATCCCGATTTTTCATCTCAAGACCTATAGAAGCTGCAGGGCTGAAACTTTGAAAACTTAATCTACATGCACGTACGGGCCCCAGTCCCCAAAATGGGCGCCATTACCCGCGTGTACCCGCGTACAGAATCGCCAAAGTTTTTTACGGGTAAGTTCATAACTCGAAGATCAGAGACGCTAGAAAGCTGAATCTTAGAGCGATGTTCCTCGCCCGAGTGGGTATTAATGAGCTCAAACCCAACCTCCGGGTACGCATGGTGTCTGCGTACGGGCCCGCCAAAATTTTTTTCGGGTAAGTTCATGACTCGAGGATCTGAGAAGGTAGAAAACTAAAATCTTAGGGGGATGTTCTTCATCCAAGCGAGTATTAACAAGCTCAAACCCTGCCCGCGGATAAGCGTTGGTACCTACGTACGGGTCCGTGAAGGTTTCTTTCGGGTAAATTGTTAACTCGGGAACGTGAGAAGCTAGAAGACTGGAATTTTGAAGGGATGTTTCCTGACAGTCCTGGCGACCAATCTGAAATTCTTTTAGCTAGAAGCATCTGCCAGAAAAACCAGTGCCGTTAGCGACAAAAATCTGCGGGGAGCTATACAAAAGGCGCATCTTCGCACGGGCAACCCGTGCGTTGACCAATTATTTTACTTTTGGTTACAGGCCTCAATTCTTTGACTTTGCTTTTTTCCTTTTATTCACAAATTCAGGTTTGTTTTAATTTACTTTTCTTTGTAGAGCTGTGCTGATTTACTTTCCTCTTTACTACTATCTGCAGTTTTTGCTTCGAACTTCTGATCAGCACCCTTCTTCCGCTCCTGTATCCTGTCCCCATCCCCTAGCACCAGAGCCACATCGGGGCGCCTACCACCTCCAACCACTGTCACGGTTATCGTCCTGAAGTCCTAACCAGCAACTTCATTTCTCCCCATTACCCTGGTCTCAATCACGCCCTCCAAGCTGCATCTAGGGAACTACTGACCAGCACTCCCAAACACGCCCAATCCTCCCACCCATTACCCCCGGCCACGCGATCCAACTGCCAGACACTGGGCAGCGCTACCCAGCGCATCCAGCGAGCGGCGCCACGAAATAGTGCTGGCTGAGATGATAGGGCAAAGCGTTGGAAGCCCAAGCACCATAGATCATCAACCGAGCCAAGTTTTTCCAATTGCCCGAATCTGTAGTGGGGGAGCAGGGTGAGAGACAGGGAGGAAGGGGGTGACGCGGGAGGGGAAGAAGAGGGGACTGGAGGAGGAGTGGGGTGGGAGGACGGGGGCAGGGGGAGGGAAGGGCGGGGGCAGTGGGAACGGACAGGGGGGAGCAGAGGGAGGGGTGGGGAAGAGGCTGCATGTGAGAATTGTGGCCGCCGAGTCGGAGCCACTGGGGAAGGGGTTGTTGGGTGAGTTGAGTGGGGACGTGGCGTAGGGAAGAGGGGGTGATGGGCGGATGCCGCGGATGCGCGGGCTATGGAAAGTGCTCGGTAGGGGGATATATTGCAGAAAGCATAGAAAAGAGGGGAAGAAGATTGGCAATGCATGAGCACACATTTGGGTG